AAGAGCACATCTGGGGGTGGGGGTGTTGGGATGTCTGTTTTTTTTTCCTCTTGTCCTACCCCACTCTATGATGGGTAGGGTACAGATAGGGGGAACCGTCTGGCGGGGTCCTGGGCTACGGATGGACTCGGGGACCTTGCGGGGGAGGGCTGGCGGTCTGTCTTCCCCGGGGTTGTTCGGACTCTCGGATTGTGGCCCCKGGTTGCCATGGTTAGCCTACTGGCTGGGATGGCTGCCAGGGTCTGGCTGGTGGTCGGCTGGGGGTGTGTGCTTGGCTATTGGCGGTGTGTGGGGGTGGTYGGGGGTGTTGCTTCACTGTGGCGGGGGGCCGGCCAGCTGGCCTGGTGCAACCCGGGCCAGGACTTGGCTGTCTGCTCTTCTACACTCCAGAATGAAGGGGCTTGCCTCCTGGGTTTGAATATGACCTGCCCTCTGTACGTGTCCTGGACCTGGGGGGTATAGAGTGTGTATCGGGAGTGTGAGTGGGGTGTGGCGTTCTTCGTCCGTCTTTGAATAAGTGGGTGTAAGAATGAGTGTGGGACTGTGTGATTGTGTCTGTGTATGATTGGGTATTTTTCAGGCTGGGACTCGCGCTGCCCTCTTACTTGGTTCACCTGAGAGCCCACTACAAGTGGTGGGCTCTGCCCCGGCCGCACTGCCCTCTGGTGGGGTTTGCCTCTGCCTGCTGGTGTGCTGGTGGCTTTCAGTGTCTGGGGTTGGATGCTTGGGCATGTGCCGGTTCGGCGTGGTGGCTGCCTGGTGGGGCTTGGGTCCTCTGACCCTGTCAGGCCTCGGCCTGGGGGGTCCTGTGGATCCGGGTCTCTGTGTCCATGCCTGGTTCTGCTCCGGCGTGGCAGGGGCTGGCAGGGCCTGTGGGGTCATCGCTGTTGGCCCTATGGGTTCTGTATGTGGTTGCTGGTGGGGCTCTCCTGGTCCACTCCTGTGTTCCTCTCTGTGGGGTGGGTGGGTAGTTCTTGCTGCGCGGGTGCAGTTGGATCCTGGGGTTTCTGACAATCACTGGATGTATATATATGTGTGTGTGTGTGTGCGTGTGCCTGGTTGTGTGTATGGGTGTGTGTGTTTTGTGTATATTATTTAACGAGGTTATAATTATTGTACACAGGTGTGGATGTGTACTGTATGTGTGTGTATATATGCTTATTCACTCCTGATCAAAATCTTAAGACCAGTCAAAAAAGTGCAAGAATTTGCATTTTGCACTATTGCATCTTAAGAAGGTTCTAAGTAGAGCTTCACAATGTTAAAAGAAGAAATCGGTGTAAGAGACAAGAACTTTTGAGCAGGGAATTATCTGAAAACTGCATTTACACTCAAACATGATTTTTTCAGCTGATCAAAAGTTTAAGACCATAGCTCAAAAAAACCCGAAATCCCCACCAAAACAGAAATCAAAGTGTCGAAAAAAAAAGACTCATTAATGAGTAGCTCCACCATTCTTGTTGATGACTTCAAACAATCGTTTAGGCATGCTTGATGCCAATGTTTCCAGGAGGCTAGTGGGAACGTTGCTCCAAGTGTTGAAGATGGCTYCACGAAGGACATCCACTGTCTGGAACTGATGTCCATTTTTGTAAACTTCCCTTGCCATCCATCCCCAAATGTTCTCAGTTGGGTTTAGATCYGGAGAACATGCAGGAYGGTCCAAAAGAGTGATGTTATTCTCTTGGAAGAACTTCTTTGTCAGGCGGGCATTGTGAACTGCAGCATTGTCCTGTTGAAAAACCCAATCATTACCACACAGACGAGGGCCCTCAGTCATGAGGGATGTCCGCTGCAACATCTCCACATAGCCAGCTGCTGTTTGACGCCCCTGCACAATCTGAAGCTCCATTGTTTCATTGAAGGAAAACACACCCCAAATCATGATGGCGCCCCCACCACTGTGCCGTGTAGAAAACATMTCAGGTGGGATCTCCTTGTCATGCCAGTAATGTTGGAAGCCATCAGGACCATCAAGGTTAAATTTTTTCTCATCAGAGAAGACAACTTTCTTCCACCTTTCAATGTCCCATGTTTGGTGCTCCCTTGCAAAGTCCAAACGGGCAATTTTGTGGCTTTGAAGAAGACGTGGCCTTTGAAGACGTTTTTTGTTTCTGATGCCCTTCTCTCGCAGATGCCTTCTGATGGTTATTGGGCTGCAGTCAGCACCAGTAATGGCCTTAATTTGRGTAGAGGATYGTCCCGTGTCTTGACGGACAGCCAATCGGATCCTGCGGCTCAGAGCTGGTGAAATTTTTTTGGGACTACCACTTGAGTTTTTTGTTCCATAACCCTCAAGATCATTTAAAAAATGCAAAATGACTGTCTTACTGCATCCAACTTCAGCAGCAATGGCACGTTGTGAGAGTCCTTGCTTATGCAGCTCAACAATCCTACCACGTTCAAAGTCAGTGAGCTTTTTTGCTATTAGGAGGTCTTGACAATGTAAAAACTTGACAGAAAATGACATGGAATCCAGATTTTTGCACAGCTTTTAGCTTTTAAAGACTATGGTCTTAAACTTTTGATCAGCTGAAAAAATTATGTTTGAGTGTAAATGCAGTTTTCAGAAAATTCCCTGCTCAAAAGTTCTTGTCTCTTGCACTGATTTCTTCGTTTAACTGTGAAGCTCTACTTAGAACCTTCTTAAGATCCAATATTGCAAAATGCAAATTCTTGCACTTTTTTGACTGGTCTTAAGATTTTGATCAGGATGGTATATGTACGTATGGGTATATGTACATACAAGTTTATGTTTGGTTGCTGGGTGTTTGTTCTCTTCATTTGCTGATGGTCAGATGTCGGGTGTGTTGTCCTGTGTGTTATTGGTGTTCTTTTCACATGTATAATTTCAGTTATCGGTTTCTCTTTACAGTTCCTATATTTCTCTTCTACCTTTTCTTTTTCTTCTTTACTATAGTATATTTAAAAAGTCACTGAAGATGCAGAAATTAAGAAACTAACATTCAGTTCTGTTTTCTACTTAAGTGGTTAAAAATGTGAGTTGACTCAAAGTGCTGTCAGTTTTTTTGTCACTTCAGTAGAAAACTAAACTAAATATCAGTTTATTCAGTTTATTTCTTCATCATCAGTGACTTTTTTAAGTGAAGAGAAAATAGAGACAGAGAGAAAAACAAAGAGAAAAGTAATTAGAAAGATAGAAAGATTGAAATAGCTATTAGAAGTGCAGTATATTAAATATACACCAACAAAACGTGCTGTCAGTTTTGTATGCATCCATCTGGATTTTTTTAGGTTGTGTCAACATGAAACCATTCTTATCAAATAACTACAACTTTACTTTATTTAGATTATTTTATTAGACATTACCTGAAAATTAACATAAAAACATTTGTTTTACTAATTATTTGTAAAGCTATTGTGTTATATTTATATTTCTAAATACGAACCTCACCCTCATGTCATTAAATTAAAGCCACAGTCAAGGAAGGGAGCTGTCTTGTATTGAAAAATGCTGACATCTCATGCAGAAAATGTACTTTAGCTAATGAGTTAGTATAAACATTAGATTGTAATAATTTATTGTAGAGAACTTTCTGCTGTAAACTGTAATGGCTGAAATGTGAGTGATAGGGTATTGATGAGTGGGGAAGTGAATTGAAGTTTTATTACATGAATGAAAGTGTAAAAACAAGTAATGGCCAATTCCTTAAAAGTCTATACTTAAATGGATTGTTACATCATTTTTTCATGATTCAATATATTTGATTTGGATGCAAATGCTTAAATGAAAGATAAATATAGTATCTGCTCAGATATTCTGGTAAGTGGTTTTGTTGTTATTTCCCAAACAAAGCTGGCCCTGACTGACCGCCTTGAGCGTTTTACTCCAAATGATTCCATCCTTTAAGCACAACTGAATAGCCGGCTGACAGAAACAGCATGACTTTCACAGTGATTGATGCTTATGACTGCAGCTCAACAGCAGGCAATGTTGCATAAAGCAGCAATTTCAGTTGTATGCAATATTCTGTCTTTTGAACATCAAACTAAATTTTAAGGAGTATTATCACATTGCAGATTATCCAAATGCTCATTTCAAAGATAGAGTATGATTTGAAGGCAATTTTACTCCAACAAAAAGCATCAAAACTGTCAGCTTGTATCATACTGAGTAATGCAATGAGACATCAAAGATATACCTGATCTACCAAATTGCTGGTCTTTTTTTCTCTATGCACCAGCAGCTGCATTGAATAAGTCACAGCCTATCTGTAGCAAACTTTTTTTGTAGTTTTTCCACAATGCATGTTAAAAAATGAAAACAAATTCAACTACACGTGAAACATTGTAAATATTTAATTTACTCTCATTGGCAGATTTTTCTTGTAGTGCCCACTGCAGTTACAGTTCCAGCACAGGATTAACAGTAATATTTACATTTTCAGTAAAATCTCCCACACTAAATCTGAGATGGTAGCCACTTTAATACTGCGGTTGAGTTGTGAAGTAGAGGAGAAACACTTTCAGACAGACACACCAAGCTCACAAAGTCACATAAAACCAGCATCTATCCACATGACCTCACAACTTGTGAACTTGGCTCACTTGACTACTTATGTTGCCAGTTCAGAAGAATCACTGCAATAGATCAACTTCAATCTTTCAATTCGCGTCAGGCTCATTTTACACAAAACGCTGACTGACTGGTTTGAAAATGTAAAAAAATAAATTAAAATAATCAAATTTCCCTCAGTCARTTTTGACAAACTAAATGATTTCCAAGAATAAAGTATTGCTACCTGACTAAAACAGGTAGTCCTCTAAATATGCCTTTATTGTTCTTCAGTGACAAACACACAAAAGGCTAAACTTGCTAAATGAGTCAGAACATGCTCAAAGTTGTATAAAACTTTATAGGAAACATTTTAGATTTTTACAACCTAAAAAATTTGATTTATCATTTAAACTAACTTCATCTAACCACTTAAAAATGTGGTTTAGCTTAAGCCAGGTTACTGCAACAAAGTAAAACTGACCTTTGAAGAAGCAGTCTTTGCTGTGTACCACAAAGATCCGTCTTCTCTCCAGACAGGCGGTGCGGTAAACCTCACAGTGATTCTCATAAAACCTGCCATCTGAACCGCACACAGGCACAAAGGAGGGCCGACATTTTTCCTGGCAAATACACTCTGCGCGTCCAGTTTCTGCCATCAGCACACACTGTCGGCCCCGTCCACAGTAGGTCCTTCGACATGGGTCATCATCTGGATCGGAACAGCCTGCAGGAAAGAGAAGGAATTGGGCTTTTACATGCTGAAGAAACAAAATAAATAAATAAATAAATAAAAGAGCTAAAAAGCAAATCTAGAAACTGATTATGAAATAAAGAATTTTTTATTTTACTTGCTTTGATTGTAAAGCAGTTCTAGGGACAAAAAACAATGAAGCTCTATCAAATGATAAACTGATATACACCTCACATATACAAAAAATAAATGTACTAAAATGTTAAGTTGTTGCATTACTTAAACATTTTTATTATAGGTGAAGATTTAAAAAAAAACATCTTTTTRAAATAACCAATAAAACATTTTTTCTATAAGAAAAAAAAACGGACTTTACTGCAGAATAATATACGGGATCTTGCATGCTCCAAAATTAGAAGCAGAAGTCTAACAAGTGCTAACAAAACAGAACCCCACAAGTCAAACCGCTAGGTGTCCTTATTAACACCCTCTGCACTCTTCCACACAAACATGTGCACATGTACACAAACACAAAATATATTCATACCTGAACATGCACTCAAAGGAATTTAAATGCAAAACAAGCTCACACTTCCTATTGTCTCCAGCTCCTTTCAACACAAACAGTTTGTAGATAAAAGTGAACAGATTTCATTGTTTTAAAAATAACTCAAATGCACACACAAGCATCTTTGTCACCATTACTGTCTGGAACACCTTGTCCTCACCTCTGATTCAATCTTTCAATTTGCACTTAAACTCAGTCAAAAAGCTGCTGATCCAGCCAGGCACTCCACCTTGGATTGATCTTTTATCACTTTTTAAACTTGACCAGCACTCTCTTTTGCTGAGATGTGAAGGAAATATTTATGATTTAAGGCTAAAATGAGGAAAACCAGACCCTCAGAGTCAAATAAGATCATTTATTTCATTGAACACTTTGCAACAAGTCTATGGTAATTCAGCAGTTTACTTTCATGGCAAAAAAATAAGCAATCAAAATTGAAAGACAGGAAACAATCATTTGATGTTTACATGGAGGAAGGCTGTATAAAGATCTGTAAAAAAAAATACAGTTGAATGTCATTAGAAATCCTGAACTTGGTTCAAATGGTCCCAAAACTGAAAAAGTGAAATTCTTTAGCCATTACATCTGATGGTGTCCTTAGATCAAAAAGGCTCAAGATTTTTGGGGAAAAAAACACCCTTGACCAGGTTGAACTTTAGTGTTTTTTCTCTCCCTTTCACTCACTTTAGTCCTTGATTCTTGTTTCTTTGTTTACCTTTGATGTTAACAAGCTCTGGTTATTTGCCATGGAAACCAGGGCAAACATAAGGGAGACAAATATCTGCTGGCTGCAGCATGCTGTGAGAAACAAATTGCACAGCATGAAAAACTCAAAGACAGAAAGAAAAACCTTAGAAAATGGTGATGGTTTTTGGAGACTAAAATAGAAATGTGAGCAGGAAAAATCTAATATTGGTGCTTATAGCATTTCACTGCAGTTGAGAGACACTTAGAAGAATCCTTGACTAATATAGACAAAATTCTCAGAAGGGTTGGAGTGGTTTTGAGGGTGAGTTAGGATGCTGAGAATTCTACTACCCTTATGTGGATTAAAGTTAAAACCATAGTGGCTTAGCAGGAAAATAAAAATATTAAACTAACGCTCTTGTAATCAAACTGTTGAAAACATTTTGAATTTGTCCKGAGTACATTTACCTCACATTTCAACACATTCATTATCATAAGTTCTGTAATAATAACTCCACAAAGACAATTTTATGGTTAAAGTACATTGAGGACTCTCTCACACAGACACTTTAATAGCCTCAGCTCTATGTATGAGGCGCAATTACACAGGCAAAAATGCACTCTGATGTTCAGCCATTGCCTGATGCACATCATCAGGTACACCTCTATATGCAAACACAGGTATGGCTGAAATGACTGGTTCATCATTCAACAGGCACACTAATAATGCAATGTCCCCTGAAGACATTTTTATTGTACATTTTATTTGCTTGACCCATTACCCAATAACCTAAATAACCATAATCAATAACAGCAGCTCAGCACAGCCAACAGCCATGTGCAGCTTTACTTGATATGGCAGCTCTCAACTACTTTTTACCTCTGCCAAGGGAGGAGGTAATGTTTTCGGTCGCGTATGTCTGTCTGTCTGTGGCCAAAATTACTCAAATACTTGTGGACTGATTGTCATGTAATTTTTAACACATGTGGGTATTGGCCAAAGGAACACACCAATACATTTTGGTGATGTTCCCGACCACGATGCAGATACAGGAATTTTTCTTTTAATTCGAGCAAATCAGCCAGGCGACAGTGTCATTATGTCAGACGCATGTCTGTAGGAAACAGGAAGTAGAAGTTGCAAACTCACTGGGTCTACATCTCCCAGGATGTCTACTATCGGGATTTTTCTGTTATCAACTAGTTTTGGTGATGTTACACGCTGTCTGGAAGCGTAGAGAAAGAAATGTGATTCTCTTCATGTTACAGGAATAACACCGACAGTGGAGGAAGGGTCCTGCTGCAGCTGAGCCGAAGCTGGTACCGGTCTTACACCGGACCGGTACTGGACAGCGGGAACAGCTGATCAACCATGTGAGGTACCCCCTCCACATAAGAAATTTATTGTGTGATTAGTCAGAAGTTTATGGCAGTGTGTGTTTGTGCTGAAAGCGCTCAGACGCTGTATTTTGCTTCAACTACTCGCTTCAAAAGAAAAAAAAAAGGCGAGTCGCTTCCAGAGCGACTGTACCGGCAGGAAGCAGAGATTTATAAAGATAGTCCAACCGTTAAAAACTCAGAAACGGGGATGAAACAGACCTTTTACACGGTGGACTCTGACTGATAAAAACTTAAGAGCTTCATCTGGGACCAGTTTGTGGATGAATAACGTCGGGTGATGAGTCTCTGACTTGTTTTTATGCATTGGACTCCACCAGGAAGAAATCCCATGCATACTGCCTAATTAAATGTTCGCTATGTCAGAACTTATTCAGCAAATGTGTTTCCATCTCTCTTTTTGCGCATTAACTCTATTGCAGGATGGGGGAAAATGGCCTTGGCAGAGGTTTGCACTCTCCGAGAGCTTCTAGTTTTATCATAATTAAGTATCAGAAATCAAAGGAAGCTGTGGTTTGGGGGTTTGCCAGGTTACTTCCCCAATGGGAACACCAGTGAGGCGAGGCGGCTGCTGGGCGYATGGCAGACTCGATTTCTTTTTATCCAGTTTGCTAATTGTTACGTGTGTCTCGACAAAGCATCTGTGGGAAATGCAAAACAGTTCAGCTCCCTCATCACCTCGCTGTTCGTGTCAAGGTCAGGGACGATTACAAGATCGTTTGTATTCTCCAAGCACGAGAGATTAAACGCTTAGCAACAACTGTCCAGTGGCAGGTACCCGCAAGTGCTCTCTTCGTCTTCCTTGTCTTGTTTTGTTTTCTCCCTTTCTGCATCTTCCTTCACTGCATCACTCCCTTCAGCTTTTTCCTTTTTGGTCAAAGAATAGAAGCACATGAGCAACAAGTCACTCAAACAACCGTAACAAAAAGCAGATAAAAGCTACATTTACAATACACAAGCTGTCTGACATTTAGCCGAGTCTTTGTGTTTCCATTCATCTGTTCTCCAAGTCCTTTGTCTCCCAGCCTCTTGGACAATGTTGGTTGCAGTTGTGGCTTGCTTAAGAGGCTAAAAGTGTCATCCAATAATCCCTTCTGTCTTAGCTGCTGGCACATTGCTGTGAACCAATCGGACACTCAGTGGTGCCAAGACAAAACAAGGCTGACCATCCGGTGTCAAGCCTTGCAATCCTGTCACGTTAATTCTTCTTTTCGTCTCCTTTGTTAATATTGCTTGGCCTTCAAACGCATTGAAAGTAAATAATTCTCACCATAATTACACTTTTCTGGTATATATTTTAGAATAAACATTAAAAACTGTGAGAAGATGAGCAACTAGGTCAAAGAAATTTGGATTATCATTGACATTTTTGACAGCTTTTTCTCTTTTCAATCCCTTTCACTCATGTTTAAGTAGATGAGTGTATAACAAGAAGCACAGCATAACAGAGTGCCTTTTCATTTGTTGGAAGAAGCTACAATCATGCCCATCTCAGCTCTTACTAAGGCATTATGATGAAGCAATGGGAAATCTGTATTCAGAATGAGGCATATGTTTCTGTGCCCATTCTTCTATGCAATGTAGTCATAAAGAACACAGCCAGAGGAAGGGATGCAGCAAGAATTTCACTTCTGTCTTGAAGCAAAGCACTTATGGTACGATCTCACTCCATTTAGGAAACAAAAATATGCCTTCACATATATATTTAAACCACAGACTATTCTCAAACTCCTTAAATCTATTTAACATTTAAAGACATTCACAAGAAACATTTTTTGTGTTTATTCCAGCACCACAGAGGGGTAGTTTGCCATTTCTGATAGATATCCCTCAGAGAGACATAAGAACACTGCTGAGTTTCTTACTAATTAGACTAGAAGAACATTTGCTCTGCTGATGAGGGACTCTCTGCCAGAAGCATCACCATATTATTGATCTCCCTTATCCATAGAAATTCAAAAGAGGCAGTCACAAACATTTCAGGGTCTGTGAAATTTAAATAGCTTTTTTTTTTTAAGAAAATCCTTCTTTTTTTAATCAGTTGACCTTTGAAAGTGTGTAATGCAGTTTTTATTCCACAAGTTTTTAACTGCAAGATATTCTTTGTGTATGTTTTACAGCCAGAGAAGCGCTCAGACACATTTGCAGATCTTACAGATTATTCTATTTGCCCTGTAGCAGCTGTAGATAATTAAATATTGAGACACACTGTCAAACACTGTCTTCCCTGTGCAGCGCAGTCAGACAAAGCATTTCTGACATGCACAGCGAGCTAGAATATCAACTCACGTCCCTCAGTGCTAGGTGAAATAGACTTTTGTTCTTATCCATGTGTGCATTAAAGCATATTTTGGCCCACTTTTAAACTAAATAATGGTAT